GCGACCTTGTGCTCTTTTTAGATCTCCAGGTTCCTTTTCGGCTCCGATATTCATAATGCAATGCGTTTTGGGACCTTGTCGAAGTGAACGTTACTACGAATATTTTGTTAATTCGGAATTTCATATGTTAACCGACGAAAGAAATGTCAAAAAATATCTAGTAAAGTTGATCATTCGAGTACCAGTAGCAACAATCGTATTTATCCATTTTACGTGATAATATGAAAATTTGAATATAGTACACGGGAGATTAAATTTAATTATTCGATACAGGTGACCTTATTTATATACAATAAATATCGAAAAAATAAAAAAGACACGTGACTATGAGTTTTCAGTTATTTCAGTCGACTGACCATAATTCACGTAATCAAATATCATTCTTGTTTGGAAATGCAGAATATTTCGGAATTCAAGACCGATCAATTAATTGGGTAATACGTGGAATAATCCTATTGCTGAATTTACCAATTTATCTATTGTTATCGCGAACCACAATGATTTTGCACGGAAATCCATTTTAAATTATATACGTTCGATCAATTGCAAAATGGTTCTTACGGTTCTTTTATACAACTTTAAATATCCGTTGTAAACAAAATCCAGTATATTACTCCTGTATTTAAGCGATGTATTATACAGGACGTAACAGAAAATACGATCACCATGATAATAGCGTTCCTATTATCGAAAAAAAATATCGCAATTTTCTTCGACCTTGGTTATGATTACTTTCCAATTTGGTTCTTATCGTATCCTATCGTGTTTCATAAATCTACGTTAACCAAAGTAGCGAATAAACGAAAGAAGAGAATGAACTGATCCCAGACATTGATACGGTTTATACCGAGTCGCGTATCGGTCGGCATACGAAAGCTATCGTATAAATAATATCTTGGCATTGCCCCGTAACGTTCATTCGTGAACATGTAATACAATCTGAGTGTAAATAGTCGGAGTGTGCCGCAAAATGCGAATGCCTACTTGGCACTGCAGTTCACGTATGTAGAGCAAATGGCAGCGTTCCAAATCTCGCAGCTTTGGGTATAAACATTTCCGCCAGGACAACCGTTTCTTTTGCAGGTTATGGATGCTTGGCAAATTTTGGGATTTCGAAAAGCGTCGTTTCAAAAAAGATAATAAAAAGCAAGTGTACCAGCCAAATTATCAGTCCGAGCCCGTAAGGAACACTTTGAAGATTACTGTCCGCCCTAATTACCATGCTAATTAGGAACTGAAGTATAACTTAGGACTATGAAATATTTTACCGAAATAACTTCCATTTTGTTAAGAGGCAATTCTTTACTCAAAATTATGAGCTTCCTACACATTGAGTCAGAATCAAAGCAGATTTACATTGAGGAAACTTTACAAATGTCTCTCCCACGTTGAATCTCTTGATACTTAATCAGTTTATCTTTTAAGCTCGATTTTCCACACGAATGCGATCACACTCGGAAAGTATGAGGAACATCCTAATTGTGGTATCTAAGTAGCCTTAACCTTTCCTTTTGTCAATATATTAAGATCCCTCGAATTCAAGTGTATAATATCACTTTCGTATGGTACGGATATAGTAACTGTATGAAATAATGATAAATTCAAGCTTGATCGTCGATAAGCAGATACAGGTAGGAGTTAGTTAATACCTACATATCTACTCTTATCGAGAAGCGAATAAAACGAAGGTACCCAGAAGGTATATGTTACGTGGTCCGAAGTTCTTGTACGATTCAAGCACTTGTTAGCCGATTGGCCAAAGGAACGAGGAAACGAATCGGCATCGTTCCGACGTTAATGGAATTATATGGAAGTACCGCAGGAGCTAGAGAGAGACTGCTGAGCTGGTTACGGGCGTTGCTGAAAGGAATTGGCGAAAGTTATTTCGTCGGACGCGTAGAAATGGTGCTTGCTACCCTACACAGTGGCTAAAAAATGTACGGTTCTAATGGGCAAGTGGGGTCGGGGCTGTGGGATGAAAGGTGCGAGTGGAGCCGCTGGCTGGCCCATCCAGCCAGTCGGAAGGAGAACCCAAAGGAAGGAAAGAAGGCATAGCAAGATACCAAGGGAGTACGGGACGCGAGGTTAAAGAAAAGGAAGGGTATAGTGCGGAGGGTGATCGGGGAAAGAAATAACGAGTCGGGGTGGTTGGGTAGTGATGGCGGTGTTGGGGGAGACCAGGAAACGTGGGTAGGAAAGAGAACGGGGTTCCAGCGGGATAATGCGAGGGAGAGGGGTTGCTGAGGTACAAACGTGTTCATCTGTGCTGAGTTACTGCCTCCCTTAGTAATTACGCTTTCTCGTTGTGTGGCTGGGCGATGGGGGGTACCCTCCTCAGTGCTACAGCACCGATGCCATCTTTCTTATTTTTCCTTCACTTTTTTGTTATTTATCCGCCGCTGCCAACGTATTTACATTCAAAGACTCTCCCTTACTCCATTTCCGCGCACCCTTACGCTTATATTATACATTGAGATTATCCCTTATGTCTTCTTTTCGCGCAATGTGATACCCTGCTCGTTATGCAATCCTCGTTCAGATGGATTTTTCGTATGACGAGAAACTGATGTTTTTAGCATACTGCAATTAGCGTTATTTAAATGTAAAGACCGATTTTATAAATTCAATTTCTTTTTTTCCAATTACCAGGTGGACTGAGACTTGGATACGGAATAGAGATAATCAAGCGTGAAGGACATTAGTTTTTTTAATATTTGTATTTTTTTTTTGCTAAAAATTGTGTTACGTTCAATAGTTTCTAGACTTGTAGCTTTATCGATTTTTTAACATTCACCGCGTATTCACGACCCTTCAGTGATTCTGTATTTCAGCACCCTCTGACATTACAGCACACTTTCGGATAAGATATTTCATGGATATCTAGGGTGTAGCGTGCGACTCACGTGCGATCCATTTTCATCCGTTTAAGCTAATTGCCTAATTTATACAATTTGTCTGCATACACTGTAGATACCTGGTATATAAAATAAACGTATTTGTTACCATGATAATACATCGCAGCACATTTATTATCAAGTCTCAATTCCCCTCGATAAATGCATTAGTACACCTTCCCTTTATATCCACGTTTAACCAAGGTAATAAATCAGCACTGAAGTATAATCCAACTAATCAGTTTTATGACTAAAACCCATTGCCCATTTTATGTACAAGGGAATGTTCAAGTGAACTTTATCCTCGCGAAATGTGAGTGTGCGTGCACTTTAATTCAAGCTAATATCCGTAAAACCACTTAGTATCCCTACCATACAGTTTACGTAGATACGAAGCGATGGATTTTACCACGTAGAAAACATTGTTTATTGCACCAATATTATTTTCGGAATAAAGGCTCTTTATGACTCTATTGTCGGTTTATGCGATAGGCAGTAACACAGACCGCTGCACGTTGCGCCCGGCGTCGGCCTCCGCGAGTAACGCTGTACGTCTCTGAACATCACAAATTTAAAAAGTAGTTCACGCGAAATATAATTGCGATAAGATAAACCGAGATTTTAGCACGAGATATAGAATCTGATAGATATAAAATCTGAATTCCACAGGAGGTGTGCGTAATGCTTCTATCTGCCTTGACTACAACGGAAGTGACTTGCGTGGCGAAGACATGGTTACTGCCTACCTATCTCGTAACCACGAAAGGCGCACATTGAAAACGCCCGCAGTCGACTAATGATTCTCAAGGAGGCGGAGACTCGTTACGCTTCGGTTCAAACGAGCCACGCTCCACGAATCACCTGAAAGAAGTAGAAACCAAAACTACGTGGGGAAATGTCAGACTATTGCGAATGAAGCAACTCTAACGTCTTCTTCTTCCTTTTTACCTCGTTTTCTTATATTCGCTTATACACATACACACACACACTTTCTCTCTCTCGTTCTCAGCCTTTCGGTCCTTTGCTTCTCACTTTTCCTCGTTTACTCGGTCTCTCATTCGCTTTCTTGAAGGGCTGTTTATTGCTCTCTACGTTGATTGATTATGACGGAGCACATCCCTCGGCGCAGCGTTACGTACGGAGATCTGTTGGAGAACACAGGCCCACGTACAACATGTGTATGTGTAATCTTAAACGTATCTAAATGGAAATCATTTTAAAAGATCATAGTTATGTGATAAGCGTTACGATATTATTTTGTCAATATAGTCTCCTTGGGATTGATTTTATTTTTTTTATTCATAATGAACTGAATTATAGATTTATGAAGGAAGACAGATCTATAATGAAGAAACATGGTATTGATTCAATCGAATGGTTTAAATATTGATTATTTATTTATTCTTATAAAAATAACCACTTTGTTTTATCAATGATAAACTAATGGATAGCATGGCTCAGTTTTACTAATTTACAAAGTACCTGTGGGTGTATGTAGTTACTGCCAATGAAGTTTCAAATAAATTCCAATCAGCCGTTCGTGCACTTACCAAGAATTAAAGAGAAACACTTGGTAAACATATGTTCGTTAAGCATCCCTTAAATGCATACCAATCGGATTCTTTCTGAACCTAAAAAAGACTACCAGCAACACTGCTCCCAACCTGGGAGAGACAATTCCGGGTCTCAAGCTCCACATACGTCGGTGGCAGCAGCGGATAGGGCCAAAGACAGAAAGTGACAAGGGAGTAGGAGAGTATGGGTGCAAATAGAATCCGTGGCACTGGGTACTGGTGGATACGTAGACCTGGTGGTAGTAAAGGGGGACTAGGAAGGCTGTCGAGAAGGGACACCGAAGAAAAGGGTAGTGGTCGGCCTACGCCGGTGATGAGGCGGTGGAGCACTCTGTAGGCAGGGAGCAGCAGGGAGACTTCGCCAAGGGTTGAGGGATTCTGAATGGGGTATAGGGAGCCTAGAGGTCGGAGTCGGGCATCTGGAGTGAGTGGGGTTGGATCTGCGTGGAAAAGAGATCCAGCTTCGGGAGGGGGTTGCTCGTTCAAGGTAGTTGGGGTGGGGACTCCTGGCAGAAACCAGTCGAGTCCCGGCCTCAGGTCGCGTCGGCCGTTTAGTTCTCAGGCGAATGCCGTTGAGTGCGGTTGGTCCTGCAGCGAACGCCTGTTCGATGCTTGGAGCGCGTGTGTCCTTATAACTGATTGGAGCATATCTGTGAAAACGATATCGTACTGAATAATTATAAATAGCTGTTGGTTTTAGCAACCGGCGAAACATTGATTATCGAGACTATTTACTAGTAATTGGAGCATTTTGCTGAATAGCATACATGTTTGACTTGTGTGACAAGTGAACAGTGAGACTTATTGTATTTAATCCGAAATCCACCATCTTGGATCAAATAATACGTTCAACGTATTGTCGCCCCGTCTAGTGTTTATTCTCCAAATTTGAGATAACTGGAAATAGTGTGAACTCAGTGAAAAGTGTGACGGGCTGTTTCGGATTGGAGTAATCGTGACTAGCGACAAGGTCAGTGTAAGGAAGTGTGATAAATATCGGTCCCATAAAGAGACTGAGATCGGAAGCTGTTGATAGCCTACGAGAGAAGAAGCGGAAATCATCAAAGCTAAAGACAGAAGCGTCAGCACCTTTTTTTTGTACCGGGCAAGATATAACCGTAGCTGCGGTTTCTCAAGTCTACGAGTGGTTAGTGAGTGAGTGAAGAAGGAAGTGAGTGTCCATCAAGGAGCGTATCAAGGAAATAGGAAAGAAATCAAACAGACGAATCGAAGCATCTTACCGACCGACCCATTAAACCCACTAGGTTATTAAAAGCAGCGGCAACTTGAAAGCGTCTTCTTTCTACCGAGTGGTAAGTTTTTGTGGTTCTTGGTGCAGCAGTTAGTCGTTTCGAGATAGCAGACGACCCAAGGGAAGTTCAAAAGGTCCTCCAGTGGAATCCCTTTGAAGATTCATGGATAAACCGTCACCCGTTTCGATTCCCTCACGTAATTCTAGGTACTCTTCACGGTATCCGTATCTAGAGCAGTGGTTAGCAAGTCGCGATCATCGAACTTTACCATTTCCTGTGCTCTGTCTGCTATCGATACAGCAACTCTTGAATCTTATATCGGATGCTGTGCTCTCCATGAATGCATGTCACGCAAAAGTTTCTCTACACCTGTTGGATTGAACTATGTTGCGAGAAGTCACAGTCTATCCTGCACTTCTCTTTGGTATGCTGATTCGATTCGCTTCCGATGCCGTTTGAAGTGGAGCCAATATTACGTACAACTTACTGCGCGTTCTCGGAAAGATATGTATGGTATAAGCGACTGAGACGATTCTTGAAAATTGTTTCTCATAATTCATTGGTTAAACAAGCACGTGAAAGACGTCGTATTTGTTCGCGATAAAATTTCGAGCTGTTAACATTCTTCAAGTATCTCGTTGAAATTCCGAGAGAAAACTGACAACGATCTTTGCAGTTCGAATGGATGTCCTCAGCATTGTTGGTAGCCATGGTCGCTTTTATACCAGAGCAACGTGTGTACCTGGATATAAGATGGTCAATTGTCAAAGTCGGTTCACGTAGTACCTATCTCGGAAAAGTCCTTCGGTATATATGTTTCGTAGCAGTAGCTGTTCCGGAGTATCCAGAGACGGGAGAGTTCGGCAAGAAAACAAAATTAAGAGCATTGTCGTGTTTGTCGGAGGAAACAAGAAAAGTTCAGGTGAAACTCCAGTAGCTCTCGTGAACAAATCTCAAAAGTGGAGAACGCGCTGCAAATTTTTTCTATAAATCGACAGAGACTTTTTTTCTCTTTAAACCTCGTCCGTAGTCTTCTGCTACCGGGTATTCTTATCTTCATGGTTTTTCATTTATGGTTTTCATTTTTGAGACGAACTACACTGTGGTAAACGGAAACAAACGTGTCTAGGATGAAATGTTAAGTAAAATATATACATAATCAAAATTTAAGTTCAATGCCAAGAGATTAGACGGAGTGTCTAGGTTGTCGTCGAGCCGATAGCGTCTTCGACGCCCTCCAAGTTTTCTATAGCCGCGGACGCAATTTCCATAAGTTGAAAAATGGCTTCTTCGCAAAGTGAGAAAAGATTGCAAGGGTGAGATGGCGCGCAAGGATAACTTGGGCTCTGAGCTACTACACGTTGGACTTGTCCAACGGTGGGAACTTTGAGCGTCATATCTCCTTTAAGGTTTGAAGGTTTATTCTTTGGCTGTCTACCTGGTTCGTTTTATACTTTTCTTATTTCTCTCTCTCTCTCTCTCTCTCTCTCTCTCTCTCTCTCTCTCTCTCTCTCTCTTTCTCTGGCTCTCTATTACTCTTGACAAATACATTTCCTTATGAAAATCACGATGGCAATCTGAAAGTGGTCTGCATTGGTTATGGAAAAAATTAGTATTCGATCCTGTCGCTACGTTGTCGAGCGTATCACGTATATTAATTTCATCTTTACACCCTAAAAATTAGGAACCCCTCCTAATGCCGCGCAGCTATACGAATCTTCATGGAGAATTTTGATTCTACGCTTCCTCAGGACTCTTGCGCATCTTCCCTACTACACATCTATATTCGGCATGGGTACGAGCAATGCTAAAAGCAGGGTCGTTATGAAAAATATATGTTAGTATATGCCAGCCGAGTACCAGACTCGGCGTTTCTTTATTTAGCGTCAACCCCTGCCCGTTTGAATGTTTACCGAGATTTTTGTCACTAGTTAAATAGCATACAGATACGAAAAGGTGACGATAGATTCATATAAATATCTGAATATCATACTTTATATACAAATGTAAAAAACGCGCAGAGAGCGTTAACTTGTATATTTTTAATGGAGTCTATTTTATTTATCGGGCATATAGCATTAACGCTCGATCGAAAACGATGAAAATGCTGTTACGCGTCTGTTCGGCGTATGCAAAATGATAGCAATCAATGTGCAAATTAATAATATTTCTCGTCAAATCTCAATAATTCCAATCAGCAAAATCTGCTGTGGGATTTTAACGATCCGGAGCGCGACACCCACTCAAGTCCAATTACCCTAAATCGAGTAATTATTGTATCGTACCGGCACGCTAATGATTCCTGCTGCTGAAACGGGACTCCGCCGTCCCTTTCATTATTATGTGTTTCCCTAATTCACGTAATGTCAACGTCCGTTTCCAGGAATTCAAGTTATTTAATGTCACTCCGCGAGCGTTACAAATGCAATAATTTTTGAATAAAATTCATAAAACGTTTTTCAAGTTTTGTTCTAACGAGTCTCGTAACTCATCAACGGTCAGTACAATTATAGGCATTTTGTTTGATTTTACCCGAACGAATGTCGTTTTACAAAGATACAGCCACGTCTCGGCAATCGTCTGCCAAGTGTCCAGGATGAAGTGGCAATTTCCCATTCGACGAAGCGCGTCTCGCGGGCGTCGGATGCGCGCGAGAACGACGCCGGGAATGTTAAGCGCGCGCCGCACCTTATTAAGAGGCCTGCACACGTTAATTGCAGTCGAATTACGGACGGCTCGTGTTCGACGTTAGAATACCAACGAATGGAAATTTATTCCCAGACGCAGAGGCGTCGGCGCGTCTGATCTATAATTTCGTTGGGGGTCCGAACCCTTGACGGAACCAGGACACCGTAGTCGGTGCACTTACAAATTACGACGAATAGAATTCCGAATCGCTAGACAAGTCCGTAATTTTCGAAGGGCGACGACATTAACTTAACGTCGAAGACCATCATTTTCTTGACGTCCCGACGTCAATTATCGCGATTCCGACAGGAAATCGCATCGGGGAAAAACGATTACTCCTCGTACTAACTCGTTTACAGATCAAAGTCATACCTAGGGGTGATTTTCTCGTCGTTCGATTAGCCGTACTCCCGTCCACGTTAAGGGAATTCGTATATGAGCTCATGCATTCTCTAGAGGAATTGCCACACGAAGAAAAAAAATTGCAGCGTTCGTTTTTTTTTTTTAACGATTTGCAAATTTACCATTGTAACACTGAAATTGCAAACCGAGCAGGATACCCAATGTTAGCATTTCTCTGTGTGCTCCTTTTTTTCCCTCTTCCTTTTATATCATCGACCCTCCCGGCACACGGGTTGGCAGCACCGGTGATCCCGTGAGAGCTCACGAATGCACATTTTTAATTTGCACTATTCCAACGATAAGGGCTGCACTTTTTAACGAACCAAATGACGATATTTATCGGTGTGCCAGTAGACGGTTTCGCAAACTTCCCTTTATAAATACGCGCTCGATCGACGCGAGCATAGCTGCAGCGCTGCTCTACTTTGCACAATTTGTTCATTAATCAATCAGTTGCCGACAGTAACTCCCGTCTCTATATCCATCCACTTGCGAATCTACCTGTAAGCCTAACGAAGCCTTTGTTACACGAGGGATTGGAAGAACGAAAAAAAATGTGTATATTTTTTCACCCCATTTTCGTCTGTCAACACCACAGCCGTCAGTCTACCTTCAAGGCGCGACGGTAGAGCGGTTGGGATATCTCGTATTCCTGAAAATATGTATTTAATTAAACGCCCCAAGTTCTTGCGGGCCTTCGTACAAACGTACAATTAAGCCGAATCAAGGAAAGGGATGTCTTCGCGTCATCCGCGCCGGCATGACAAATGTCGTCGAGAGGAAATACTGGAGTGCCATCATATATCATGGGGATAATTATATTATTTCAGTGCTCGTGTGAACGCGTATTTATAGGTCTCCTTGCTTACTGCTACTGGTGTGCACGCTGCTGGATGCTTCTGGATGCTTCTGGATGCTGTCATGTCACCCTATGAGCCATCCGCCGGTCTCCCCTAAATAGCTCTCCACGCCCACGTCGTGAGAGATATCGAAAAGCAGGGTACACGCGATATCAATGCTGTCCGATATATATGACATCGTGATTCTGACATACATGTATATGTATATGCACGTTGGAGGGATTTTTCAATAGTTTTTCTACAGGACTGTCATCCCGTCAATTGATAATTCCAGTTATTCGTGCCAATAGCACTAGCGAATGTGGAGCGCAGATACGTTCGACTGGCAGCACTCTTTAATATGTACATATGCATTGCTATCTTTTATGCGAACAACGTTTAGCGACTATCTTTTCAGGAACGATAAGATCGACCAGGAATCCCCAAGGAAGTTCCCTTAAACGTTTTGGCAGAGTCGAACGGATATATCGCTCGGAGAGTTTCCTTGAAAATTCAGTATACTTTATCTTAGAGATCTTGGCGCACGTACTTTGTTCATGTATTTGTATATTTGTGTATTTGTATGTACACTGAATGGCCGTGTGTGGAAGAACGTAAACGGACCGGCATTAAATTACCGATAATACGAAAACAATTTGCGGAGCCCATTGTCCCGTCGAAGTAGCACTGCTAGGGTCCTTAAGTACAGACCAAGGGCGCATTTGGAAGGTTGGCAAGCGCTTTCTTATTACGAGTGCACGTTTAATTGGAGTATTGTCGTCATCAGGAAAGCTGCTCTCGAAGTAGACGTCAAGAACATTCGAGAAGAATAAGCAAAAGTAAAACGTATATACGTAGGTATATAGTATAATAAGTCCGTTGAAGTGGGTCCTTTCTGCCTATATCGATCAATGTTACTGGCTCCTGGCGTAGCTTCTGTTTTAACCTAGAAATTTATTTATTTCACTTTCTTCTTTTTTTCCTAACCTGAAAAATGAAGGAGACTTGATGGATGAAGCGAGAGAGGGTGGGAAGGGCCGTAGCTGTCGGATGGGAGCCACGGGTTAGAAACGTAAATAAGCCGGAAGTCTATACTTATGGTTGACGATGCGCGAGAAGGTCGGGCGTGGA